GTCTAGTCGTGCGTTTCTAGAAAACTAGAAAAGATCGCTTCTTACGCTGAAGGCAGCGGGACGATTTCCGGCAACACGGCTGCACCCCTTATCCTTGTTCCGGTAGCAATTTGCTCTCGATGCTAATTATCCACGCGTACTTCGAGGAACGGAAAGCATCGACCAGCTTCTTTACATTCGCATCTCACGCGGAGAGTCAAACAGCGACCGTATTTTGTCGTAAATCTTGTTTTCAATAGTCTGTTCGCTGCTGGGCACCCTGTCGTGGTTAAACCAAAAATTGCAAAAACAAACAAGGTCGTCAAATGCTTTTGTGGCTTCCTCATGGCCCACAAGACCTTAATAATTTGTAATGTTATCATTGACCTACTTTTAAAATTTTTCTTCAAAATTTATGCGCATGCACGCGATAGTTTTCCATCTAGCAACAATGACACTTTGTCTCCCACATGTGGTTGCAGCCGTCGCGACGCGATGGCGCGACAATAGAAGTTTGTCGCTGTCGCTCGAAAATTGCGTGTTGGGCCTTGATTCGGCTCTCATCGTAATCTACTACACCTTGCACGAGCATCGATTACCGTACGTATTGTGAACTAGAACCATAACAACAACAGTTTGTTTACTCATTGATCATGGACGTCAGTCGTCAAAATGGAAATGTATCACTAAGCTTCAACATTGGTGCATTCGCATTGAACCGTGCGATAGCTGTCAATCACCAAAAGACATTGAGCGAGCTTTTTTGTATCAATGGTACAGTAAAGATTGGACTCACTCACTATCTTCTTATACCGTTCCCCATGAGGAGGTATATATCAACTATTCCTTTTTTTCCTGTTTCTTTTGCCGTGAATAGTAATTGCATGAACGTAAAGGTGGTTTTACAAACTTCATGCTAAAAGTAAGGTAACTAGTAAACTCTAGTACTACTAGCAAATACCAGTCGAGCCCAAAACTCAACAGACAAACATAAGAGAGCAAATGGAAATCAAAGGCCTTCCCCGCACGCAAAACCATCGTTGCAACGGCTTCGAAGCTCGCTTGAAAGAGGTCGTTCTTTTTATATCTTTTGTCACCCACGTATAATAAAGAAATATGATAAATTTTCAAGAAGCATTCCGTGTTCGAAGATTTCCGTCACGTCGCCTTATCGCAAAGCCACCCGACATGGTTGCCACGCTGCTTCGCAGTGTTAAGGGTGAGGGTAAAAGGAGGGGGGGTTAGAGTTACAAGTGCTTGGTTAGATTATGAAAGCTGTCTCTGTATCTATACACGCGCGGCTCGAATTCAAAAGCAGGGGGAGTCCCTGTGTGCGCTTCCAGCGACAGAGGAAATATGGATTCGTCTGCAACGCTATGCCCGAACACGAAACGTGCGTGACGTGAAATGAATCCTTCCGAAAACCGCGTTTCTTTTTCTCCTTTTTTTTCTTTTTTACTCACCTTATTTTTAGAGCACATCACGAATTCACCACTTGGCTTTCCAATACGACTATGTACACAATTGGAATGAACCATCTACGGTAAAATTTATTTTCAAATATCCAGTGAAAAAATAAAGGTAGCTTTCCCCAGAATCCGTTTTATTTGAATGCCCAGCGGCTTCGCTGCGCACTGGATGACCTCGCAAAAAACTAGAGAAAGAAAGGGTTTCTTACAGTGCAGCGACGTAAGAGGACGCCAAAAGTTTATTGTTAGCGTACTATTGGTTACGTAATGCTACTTGTTTGTTATCGTTTCTGTCTTGAATTTCGACACCGATTAAACATGGAAGATCCAAGGCGGTCTCAAACTACGGACTCGAGAAAAGAATTCCGGCATGCCATTCGCTCTCCTTATCACGTCACCAATTGCTTTTCTTGTATACTGGTCTTCTTCCTTCACTGAGTGAGGTGGTTTTTCGCTAACCATGGTCAAATTTACGTTTTTATCCAGTCCGTTTTTAGCATCCAAATACTTTATTCAGGTACACAACTCGCATATTCTTTAAATAAAAGAAATAAAAAAATAACTGGGTAAAACTTGAGCATATCTAGCATATCCCATACATCGCAATCTATGCTTGGCTATCCTTGCATATTGGATGGTTACACCGAATCCGTGCCCAGAGCAAACCATAACTTTTCTTACCGGAAGTATAGAAGCATGAAAAAATGGGAACTGTCCTGTTCTGTTAACTCGTGCCTTCGGTTCCTGACCTGCCACGGTTTTTGGGTCACAGAAGAAAGAAGCACTGCAATGATACTGCTGTTGCGAAACAGAATTACTAGAACGCGTGTATAGTTCAACACGCTCCTGATATAAAATTATGCGAACAATATATCACATATTACATCCCACGCCGAAGAAGCACAGCAGCGTAGTGTACAGTCTGAAAGAGGGAACGGGAAATGCGTAAAGAGACATTTTATTTCAAACTTTGCTGACAGAAACCTAAACTAATTTACGAAAAGTTGGCTGTCAGAAATATGCCAGAACATTTAGTTTATAAGTGTCATTCCTCGGCGTTACCGTGGGCGACAAGCCACAATATATTGTGAAGAGAGTTGAGCAGGGAACGTCGCATAATTTCTCGTCCCTCGAGAATCTCTTACGAGAGGGCGGGGGAAGGCAGCAACGTGAAAAGGTCGCAGTCGCGGTGTCCGGTCACATTTTCTTTAAATTTTTTTCTTTGTTGTTGCACGCAGTGATTTAGTGTTTTTTTTTTTCTTGTCGTAAATGCCAAAAGATTAGCGATTCAGCCAGATACTCCTCGGTCATGCTATATATATCTCTTTCGTGTAAAATTTCGCTATAAACACTTTAAGGACTTTTGAGCTTTGCCTTACAGAATACAACGCAAAGGCGTAATTGGGTCCCGTGTGCGCAGTCTCGTTACTTGGTGGTCTAGCTTTGGTTCTCGGTGAGTGCCTCAACTGTGCGGTAAAGAAGCTAATGACTCAACGAATAACACTAGCCGTTTCGATCTATTCTACAACTTCTACTGAAAGAACAGTCTTTTGGCGTCCACTACATCATAGTTAGTCTTGATCCTACGTTGAACTTACAGCTCCCAACAAAACTTCGACGAGATGACGCTACTGCTCTGTGCAGACTATGGTTGGGAGTCTCGTTTACCCATGCGTACGCGTTCCGCACAGGGATGGCCGACACCGCCGACTGCACACTGCGGAGATGAAGACAGACAATTTGACACGTCCTGTGTGACTGCCCGCAATATAACCTATAAATACAATACATTTCTAATACACTAAACAAGTTAGATGACCAGCCGCTGGCAGAATAAAGAATACTGCGCCATCGTCATGACTCATCATCATTGAAGAAGGCCGTGCAAGCGCTACCAGGCTTCTTGCGAACCACTGCCTTGTCGGAACGCCTCTGAATGGACTATGTGTGTTCGTGTGTGTCCGTGTTTTTCTCGTATTTATTTTTAGCCCTCTCTCACTCTTTCAACTCCCTATTCCCCAACCCAGTGTAGGGTAGCATACCGGATGCTACCATCTGGCTAACCTCCCTGCCTTCCTTTTTCTCGTTTCTCTCTCTCTCTTCCTCAACGAATTGGCAAAGGACATCCGTAAAGCAACATGTGAACCTTTGCAGCTGGTCACTTTGTAAATGGTTTTTCAGTTGATCATGAATAAGTATGCTAGGGCACTTTGTAGTGAATGGGCTCTTAAAACACCCAATCTTTGCTGGGCTCTTAAACACCCATGGGCTCTTAAACACCCAATCTTGTATTTCTGCGCTTCTGCAACGCAATACTGCATGTATGAGGGAGAGTTCTTCCACTGCATGACGTTCATATAATCGCGTTTTGTTTTTGTTTTTCATAACAGTTTCAGAATAAGGTGGTGGTATAACATCTGTGGTTAAACACCAGGCTGTGGCAAGCTGTGGTGGAATACTTGCTTGGCAAGCAGATTCTCACTGAAACACAATCCCGTCCGTCCGTCTGTCCGTCCGAACGTCCGTCCCTCTGTCTATGTTTCTGTACATTTGTCTGTCTGTCTGTCTGTCTGTCCGTCCGTCCGTCTGTCTGTCTGTCTGTCTGTCCGTCTGTCTGTCCGTCCGTCCGTCCGTCCGTCCGTCTGTCTGTCTCTCTGTCTGTCTCTCCGTCCGTCCGTCCGTCCGTCCGTCCGTCTGTCTGTCTGTCCGTCCGTCCGTCGGTCCATCCGTCCGTCTGTCCGTCCGTCCGTCCGTCCGTCCGTCCGTCCGTCTGTCTGTCTGTCTGTCTGTCTGTCTGTCTGTCTGTGTGTCCATTCGTCCGTCCGTCTCTCTGTCTGTCTGCATGTTTTTTTTCGCATTTCACTCAATGACAAGATGATTATCTTTGACTCACAACCAAACGATACCCAAGTCACACGGGTGTATTTGGTCGTCATTATGACCCATCCGGATCGGATATCTTAATGGCGATCAACAATCTCCACTGCCACATCGGCGAAACTTATACGGATCGAGTATGGCGCAGACGAGAGTCGCATCGCAATTCCGTGTACAGATCACATTTGCAAATTGAGATCATCTTGATATCGATCTGTCCTGATCCCGATTAAATGTTACACTGCACATTTATTGTGCAGTGAATAAATGCGGCATTGCCGTGCCGCGGTGGTCTAGTGGCTAACGTACTCGGCAGCTGACCCGCAGGTCGCGGGATCGCATCCCGGCTGCTGTGGCTGCAATTCCGATGGAGGCGGAAATGTTATAGGACCGTGTGCTCATATTTGGGTGCACGTTAAAGAACCCTAGGTGTTAAAATTGCCGGAGCCCTCTACTACGGCGTCTCTCATAATCATATGGTGGTTTTCGGACGTTAAACCCCACATATAAATCATCAATTAAATGTGTCATTGCGCATTTAATAGCGATCTGCTTAATTCCTAATCGGGAGCGATCCTGACTGTGATCGAAGTCGCCCGTGTGACATTGGTATAACACTAGCTTTTCGCAGATCCTGCAATCCATACACTTCGCGACAGGAGAGTTTGTGCTTACCGGCGTTGACGTGCACGGCGGTGCTGAGCACGGTGCCTCTCGCGTTGCGCGCCCGGCAGCGGAAGGATCCGCGGTGCACTTCCTCTCGAAACTGGTTTGCGCGGAAGGGCATGAAGGTTAGCGTGCCCTCGTGCACCGTCAGCAGCTGCGGTCGGGAAGTGGCGGCCGACAGCGCGCTGGCATTGAGTCCGTCGACCGCGCTCACCCACCACACGTTGGGGCGTGGGTCTCCCTCGGCCGAGCATCGCACCGTGGCTCCCGTCCAGTTGGAGAACAGCAGCCGCGCAGGAGGCTCGCTCAACCAACGCGGCCCGGATGAGCCTTTTACGATGTCGACAAGGTTCACCAAGAGGCACACCGCGGCTGCAAAGAGTGAAGAAAGAGCCTGGCATGTTCACCGATAGCAAGAATAAAAAGTGTCAAACGATCCGTTATGCGCGACAGTACCGTCCATAACTTTGCCTGCTGCAATGTCCACTCTGTCGTCATTGTAGCTAAACACACGTCACGTTAAAATAAAGATAAATAGAGACAGGCTAACTTTGTTATCTGAAGGAAGGACAGAGAGGTAAACCAGGGAAGCCTCCCGTTTGCCACCCTCAATTCTGGAAAGAAAAATGGAGTGTAAAAACAACGAAAGAGAAGAACAACAGTATGTGACCACCTTAAAGACTGATGCTTAGAGCATTGCCTGAAGATACGACACACCAACGTTATCTGGGAACAGAGAACGTGAAGTGAGCGTTCAATGTGTACAAGAAAATTGTTCACTGTCACTTGGGTCTATCTGGCGTTCTTATTTATTTATCTATTTGTATAGCTGTTCACGTCGTATTCAAGACAAAGAGGCACTAAAAGCCAAAACTGTTTCGTTGAAAATCTATAGAATGGACGACGTACACAATGAATAGGAATGAGAAAACAAGATAAATCTATTTACCGTCACCTTGGTAGTCCGAGTCCGAAAAATAAACTTCGTTCCTACATCAGCCTTTTCTTCTGTCCCTTCAATAGAAAATGTTTGACAAGGCAACTTTACATATAATATCTCTATTAACTGCACGTTAATGCGATTAGCATTGCAGCGATGTAGTGGTACACACAACACAGCCACTGCCGAAACGTAAGGAAAGAGCCATGTGTAAAGCCACACTTGGTCATAAATATATATTCAGGCAATATTCTTTGAATATTGTCGTATGATCTGGTTTCAATTCAGTCATGCAAAAGAAAAAAATCACTGCCATATCCGTAAAGTGAATTATCTAAGAGCATTTTGGGCACGTTCCATGGCCAGAAGTGCACAGTGTTGGCCACGTCGATGGGCATGCTTACTACCTGCCCCTTTATGCCATACTGGCCACTGCCGTGAGTCAAATGCCTTACGCTCATAAATGGTAGACATGAAGCTATAAGGCGTCCTTCAACGGTGTTGAGGGCAGACAGGTGAGGGGGCTTGCAAGTATAGATCAATACATGAGGAGCTCAGAACTTGCATATCAACTCTGGGCTGTCCAGAGGGCCCACGGCGCGGCGGTGAGGCTCAGCCTACCCGTTCCGACGTGGGAGCGGCCTGTTGCTCTACCTCCTTGAGGTAGTGTTCCTCAGGACCTTCATAAAGTTCTGTGCCTGTCTGTTTGTGCGTAACACTCATCATAGGAACTTTTCACGTGCTGCCGTGCCCACGAAGCGACGAGAACAAAGTGGACGCAGGCGTGAGGAGGCGAGCACGCGGGCTGTCGAAAATCGACGCCTTGGGTGGCGGCTCGCCATCTAGTGAGCATTGTTGGGATCACCAGAGAGTCAACCGGAGCTGCGAAGAATAAGCGGTCAACGGAGAAGTGTACACTGGTAGCACTAGCGTACACGCCGGCGGTCGTCAGACCAGGCGCAAGCATATGAAGCTCTCCAATCAAGCTTCTAAAAATTCAACCGGCTCTGTTTCGTGGACACCGATAAAACAGCGAAGCTCGTGGCGTTCCGTTCGTGAAGCTGAAACATTTGAACGTTTTGAAAGTCTCTCAGGTGTATTTTATCGCTGCTCTCAATTGAACACACTTCGTTAAGCTTTGGTGTGTCACTATCTTGACCATACCACTCTTATAAACAGGTGTACACAAAAGTCCTCGCTTAAGATGACCGCCATGGCAACGTCAGCAGGAATGTTTTTGGGAAGACAATGCACGGCTGTTTTCACGTTAATCGGCACATTCCCCACCTGTAGTCTAATCGCACAATGACCATTACGGCGTGTTAGCCATGCACGCCAGTTCTCGATGACGCTCGTCGGGAGAATGAAGACGCTGGACCATTCTGAAAGCTCAAATGTCGAAGAAACAAGACGAGACAGCTACGTTCTTGGTGCGAATGAAAACAAGCTATTTTTTTGTTATTGTAATTATTACTACTGCATGCACCTTCGGTGCCCAGCGTATTTTTTTCCTCTTGTCTTTTATAAGTTTCAACAGCTTCCGACCCCTGCAAGTGTTCTTTTCTTCATTTTTTTTTTTGTGTGGGGGGCAGCCCTGCGTAGTAGCATTTACCCGATTTCTGTGGCACACTCTCGTATAATGAACCACGTCGTCAGCATTACGCCTACAACAGAACCAAAAGACTCGACAGAGCACAGCTTCGATGGTAAAAGGGAACTACGACTACAAGTATAAAAAGTAATCGCTTATATGCTTTCGAAACTACTACATCAACCATATTTGCATTCATTCCACATGCTATGCACGTCAACGAAAATCATGTCGTTTCATATTTTTGTAAATAAAGTACCATGACTGTTTCATTAATGACACCTTGTTATGATGTGCTATGGTGCATAATTTATATTCATTGCTAGAGCTTCAATAATTCCTTCGAGAAGCAGCAACATCACCGCTTTCTTTCAGGGAAACCGAGTGCCACGTCTTTCTTCAGGTCTGATGGTTTGAAGATAGCGGTGACTGAAAAGGAGCAGAAATTGATGTCCTACACGAATTTATGCATGCGTCATGATCGACTTCCGGTGACTAGCCGCCAGTGATGGATCCGGAAAACATTCTACGTTGATGTAGCGGCGTTCGGATAAAAAGGCGCTGAATGACCTGCTTTAATGGAGCAGACTTCCACTTCCTTCCGGCATAGACCTAGTCCAATCACTTGCACGAACTCCAAGCACACGTGGCCCATAAGTAAGCAGCGGCAGTCGAATATCTTGTTCATGTTCGTTTTCTTACATTTGCATATAGTTGTATTCCGGTGCTTCTATACGAACATGGCTTTCCTTCTTCGTGCAGACCACAATGAATATCTGTGAACGACGCATTTATGGCAAGCAAGTAGCATCGGCTCCATTCTCTGTCACTCAGGCTTGGCAACGGACAGCGTTCTCTTGGAAATGCAAAGAAACATGCGTACCGATGCGCATGCGCCCGCAAATAATGATGACCAAGGCCAGTTCAGCGACTGCATAAAAGCCTGTGCTGTTCATGCACTCTTACTGGGTGGTCGAACTGCGACAATACACAACGATATACCTCGTCACACAACTGCAGTAACAGTAACGAAAGAAAAAGGAGCACAAGCGGGCCTGCATGCCTTTCATTACATCGACAGCGGCCGCTAGGAAGACGACGCCGGGTTCCGCTACAAAATAGCACGCAACAACTCACGCTCATTATTGCGCAGTGACGCACGCAAACTCACGCAACAACCGTAACTCTCCTGTACTACGTCTGAAGCAAGAAACTTCCTTTACTCTAAAGACGTTTACGTATGCAAGCAGAAGTTTGATGTAGCAACAATACAGTTTGGTAGGCGTAGGTACGACGATCGCCATTTTTTTTCACCGTGGCCACTGTGATGACCGGGAGCACATTGCTTTGATACCTCCCTCCCTGCTTTTCATTTACACTTTTTCTCTTCTTTACTCTTGAACTATACTGTTTAATGTTGCCTTACATTTCATAGCTACTTTTCATATTGCACGGCATACAAGGCCTAGCTTTTTTTGAGGTTACTTGATTACATTCTAACTATAGTCACTAGTAAAATAGGCAAGAGGAATTATCCAGCTACTATTGATGCGTTTAAACATCAGCTGCTCATACTCTATCAAGGCCTGATATGCTAAAGTGCTGCTGATTCATTTACCAATGCGTTAAAGGCTTGTAACTGGTATGGTCATGCATAACTGCACATCGGAACATTTATTTTGGGACCCTTATCTGCATGCAAGCTGTGCAGTTAAAACCGTTCACAAGAGGCATACACAAGTCGTAGTTGTGCACAGGGAGGAAAATACAGATTAATGAAGTGAGGGAGGGCAAGGAGAATACATTGTTAGAGTAGGTGACAAACGTGTGAAAAACTCCAATTTCGATGCCAGTCTTCGCAACAGTAGTAATCTCAGGTTGCGTTGTCAGCCGTGCCAACAAAAAAGCTTTTCGTCCTGTTGTTAGAAGTCAGCCGCTTGTCTATTTTAGTGCCGAAAAATCCTACTTCTTACGTTAAGAAATCAGGCCACTCAAAAAAAATAATGTTAAAAATCTTCGAGAAGTACCGGATTTCTCTTACTTTCATGACAGAACGTATGAAGTGTTGACGCAAGTAATCAGCCCGTCCTCACCAATAGAGGTCGGCCAATTCATTCAGCGCACAAGCGCAAAGCGCCCATTTCCATCGATTTGAACATGGTTTCAATTAAAAAAAAAATGTTCCTTTAGTGAAAACTTCTCAGCATAAAAAAACGGGCAGGCATTAAAAGCGTTGGTAAACGGAACTCAATCAGAAAAAGGGAAACGAAATGCGAAAACCTATTTTTTTCCACAGCAGCGCTTCGTGAACTGGAGGTCAAATTGATTTTCACAACGAGGTGGCCCGGAAAGCATGAAGGCCCAACTTAACTAACTTGTGCCTTCAGAACATATATGAATGGTAATAAACTAAAGCTTGAGAGTGGCTCTCGCCCCTGGTTCTGATTGGGGTTTTCTTTTATATCGCGTTTTACTAAACATGAACTATTATATGATTCTTTTTTTGTCTTACCTGCTCTCTCGTTACAATAACCTGCAGTATGGGCGGTAAGGTTGAATTAGCATGCTAATTATAAGGAAGCTATAACGAGCGGTCATAAGTTAGTGATTCTCCAGCTGCAGCTAAAAAAAGGCGAAAGTTTTGCTTTCCTAGTAGCTGTTATACGGCACATTTAAACACATATTTTTTTCTCTCTCCTTACACACGAACGAACGACCCATGGCGTCACTCTAAAAGATTGGCGTTTTTCAGGACCCATATAAAGTTCGATGTCCATCTGTCTGTTTCTACCTCATACGGTGTATATTAAAAAATATATGAAAATGTGCTTTAAACTATAAACTAAGTTATCTTGCTGAAAAAAAAATGGTGCGGTAATAAAGTCAATATCTGCATTCTTTAATGGATACCTAGTCCAAATTTATTTTTCGA